GAGCATGTGGAAGGCTGGATTTACAATCCAAAGGTCCAGAATATGCTTATCAAAATTGCCGTTTGTGCCATTTACATTTTGAAAAAAAATGGTACAATGTTAACAAAATTAATGCTCGTCTTCACCCAGATGCTGTACCTACTTTATTTGGACTACATTTAGAACAAGAGTAAGTTTTTATTTATAATAATTAATCATTTTTTTAATAATTTAGTTTAATGCAATTAGACTTTCATTAAATTAAATAATACTATATACATACATATAAAGTAGTATAAAGTAATATATAATAATTTTACAATATAATTACTTTAATAATTGTGTATAATTAATCAAATAATATACGAGGGTAGTTTGATAAGTTTGGTAAATTTCCATGAAATGGCTACAATCCATTTGATGACGCAACATCTCGAAAGATCCACTCTTCGAACCCCTTCAGGCCAAATTTCAGCCAGAAAGGACGCATAGTTCACGTTTGATAGTCATTTGAAGTGAATGGAAGCAGTTTCCGCAAAAATGGAAAAAAACGAATTCTGTGCAGTAATAAAACACTTTCATTTAAAGAAGTGGACAGCAGCGCAGATCAAAGCCGAGTTAAACGAAGTTCATGGGAACTCTGCTCCTGCATTGAAGACCATTTATTTTTGGATAAACGAATTTAAATGTGGCCGAATCTGCACTGAAGACGAAGCGCGCTCCGGACGACCTGTTGAGGTTACCACATTGGATATCGTGGAAAAAATCCATGGTATGGTTATGGAAAATCGCCGAATGAAAGTGCGTGAGATTGCTGAGGCCGTAGGCATCTCCACGGAGAGAGTGCATAACATCCTGCACGAAAAATTGCATGTAAAAAAGCTGTGTGCACGATGGGTGCCGCGATTGCTTACTCTCGATCAAAAACGCATGCGAAAGGACGTTTCAATGCAGTGTTTGGCGATGTTTAAGCGCAATCCGCGGGACTTTTGGCGTCGATTCGTGACTGTGGACGAAACTTGGATCCATTATTACACTCCTGAGATGAAGCAGCAGTCAAAGCAGTGGATAATGCCTGGTGAAAGTGCGCCGAAAAAGGCGAAGACTGTTTTGTCGGCTGAAAAGGTGATGGCCACTGTTTTTTGGGATTCCCAAGGAATTATCCTAATTGACTACTTGCAGAAGGGTAAGACAATAACAGGAGAATATTATGCAACGTTATTGGACCGTTTAAGAGAAGAGCTGGAAAAAAAACAGCCAAGATTGGCGCGCAAAAAAGTGCTCTTCCATCAAGACAACGCGCCGTCTCATCGACCGTTGCAATGGCAAAACTACACGAATTGGGCTATGAATTGATTCCTCATCCACCCTATTCTCCGAATTTGGCCCCGTGTGACTTCTTTCTGTTCCCAAACTTAAAAACTTGGCTCGGTGGGAAGAAATTCTCGTCAAATGAGGAAGTCATTGTCGCCGTCAATGAGTATTTTGCAGACTTTGAAACAGTCTACTTTTCCGACGGTATTAAAAAATTGGAAACTCGTTGGACTAAGTGTATAGCCCTTGATGGAGACTATGTTGAGAAATAAAGCAGATTTTTTCCAAAAAAATGTGTTTTACTTGCTTTTTTACCAAACTTATCAAACTACCCTCGTAGTGTCTGATAATAGTTTTTTTTATTATGAAAATAATTTATAAATACAGAAAATAATTAAAGTCTTTTCAGAAATATAACAACTAATAAAACACAAAAGGAAGATGCATTGGCAGAAAAAACGAATAGGTATATTTAAACAGTTTTATATTTTTTCATATAAAAATATTCTATAAAATTATGATATATATTCTTTTTTTTTATTGTAGAAATACAGAGGCAACTGATATTCAAATGGTTGAAATACAGGAAGAGACTAGGTAACTTATATTAATAGACATTTTTATTTTTAAGAAAAATAATATAATATATTATATATTATATAATTTTTCGTGATTTTTTCAGCAATGCCAACACTTCAGAAATAATCTCTTCAAAAATTCTGCCAATCACTACTGTTATCCATGACATAGAGGCTGGAAAAGTTAAACCGTATGTTTTATTTTGTAACTTATAGTAAAGCACATATTTTTATTTTCTCATTTATAATAAAATTTTTTTTATAACAAACATTTAATTATTACTAGAATGTAAATTAAAAATTAATATATTATGTTTCTATATTTTTTAACTTTATCTTTTACTTAATATCATTTAAATTGTTCATTTCTTAGTAGAATTTATTACATTGCTTATCGTAATGAAAAAAAATTTTATCATCATAATTATAACGGATTCGTATTACTTCACAGAAGTACATCCGGAAGTCAATGTATCAAGACATCATCGGATGATAGCCCAAGAAAGAGAAAATTACGTTTGAAAATCAAGAGATTACAGGCACAAAATAGAACTCTACGTGAGACAGTTCGACGACTTCGTTTAGAAAAGAAGAACACCAAGAAGGTAAAAATTAGAGAAGTCAAAATGAATGAATATGGGCGTTTCAAAAAATTAGGCCGTAAGTTATTCCCTGACAATTTTAATAAAATATTAATGGCACAAGTTGACGCACAACTGAAAAGTAGACGTGGCATGAGATATGATCCCGAATTTAAAAAATTTGCCTTATCAATATATTTTTTAAGTCCACGCACTTACCGAGAATTGCAAAAATCTATTACATTGCCTTCTGTACGTTCTTTACATTTATTTACAGAAAGATGGAATATTGTCCCGGGTACAAATGATAAAATTTTTGAAGCATTAAAATTAAAATTAAATTCTTTACCATTGATAGAACGTCATTGTATATTATGTGCAGATGAAATGAGTTTAAAAAGTCACTTGTTTTATAATGTATCAAAAGATGAAATTATTGGATTTGAGGACAATGGTGATAAAAAATCATGTGTGCCTGCAAAAAGTGCTTTTTAGTTATAATGGCACGTTATAATAGCATTGCAGGTGAATGGAAATTGCCCATTTGCTATTGTTTTGTAGAGACTACGTGCCATAGCAATGTATTAAAAAATCTTTTGTTCGATATTATTATAAAATTAAGAAATTGTGGTGCTGTGGTGCATGCATTAATTACAGATATGGGTTCTAATTTTATACAACTATCTCACAATTTAGGAATTTCCACACAAAATTCTACTTTTGTAGTTAACGGTGAAAGTCTAGTTTACATTTTTGATACCCCACACTTAATAAAAGCAACTCGAAATAATTTATTGAATCACAATTTTAAAATTAATAATAAAATAGCTTCTTGGGATCATATTGTACAGTTTTATGAACGAGACAGCACACAATGGATAAAAGCAGCTCCTCAATTATCGATGGATCATATAGAGCCAAGTAATTTTTCAAAAATGAAAGTAAAGTATGCTGTACAAATATTTAGTAATCATGTGATATCTCCAAACACGTAGATTAAATCAAGATTGCCTTGAAAATTTCTTTGGCTCTGTTCGGCAACAAGGTGGTAATTGTCTTAATCTGACACCTATACAATTTACACGTGCTTTTAAAAAACTATTTAGTACGAAATTTTTAGAACATTCGGAAACTCAAAATTGTGCTCCTGATAATGATGATATATTAAATATTATTGGAAAGTCTAGTAGCAAAGAGTCCACAACTTCAGAATTGGTTCCATCTTCGACGTATAAAGTTTTAAAAATTCCGACTCACGATTATCAAACAATGACTTTGCCAGAAGAGAATGCATTTAAGTATGTATGCGGCTACTTAATTAAAAAGTGTTTGGCAATACATTCATGTGATATATGTACAAAATATATAAATGAAAATAAGGCTGTATTAGATGAAACTACTTTATATTGTTCTTTTCGAGCTTGTGAAAATGAACAAGGAAATTTGTTCGGAAATTTTCATATACCTAGTAATGATTTTTATAATTTGTTGTGGTAGCGAGGCACCGGGTAGGAAGCGGGTCCGGGTAAAGGATTACTCAGGTATTTCTAGTTACAACGGGCATTGCGTGAGCGTGATTCTACCTACTGTCTAAATGGGAATACCCTTACATCCGTCGTGTCTACAGGTGGCGCCTTGGCGCTATGCTCAGGGTCGCACTCGCACAACATCGTCCCTTTTTTATTAAAGGCATGTTGCTGTTTTACAATTACATCACAATTCTTATTGTACGCTATATCTATTCGGCGGTTTCCTTGGTCTTGTGGATTTGCGCGGCGATGGTTGACAATTCTCCGAACTTTCTTGTACGTTCGCTTGCGCGTGGTTATTTGCATCGCACTCCGCCAAACTGACCAGCTTGTCCGGAATGTTTTCCGTCGATTGCTCGCTCGCATGACGGTCTCCTGCGCAAGGGTCTACATGGTCTTTCACAGCGGTTTGATACTCTGATATCATATCGTCGGGAATAATAAGTGTTTCGTCGTTACAGACAGTCTCGGCCTTGTATGGCGCCGGTACTAAATGCCAACGATTACGTCGCACCGTGTTACCTCTTTCGGTTTTTACAATGTACGAATTCGGATTTATGTCTACCCTTACAATTTCGCCATACGCTCGCATGTCGACTATCCACACTTTTTCGCCTGTATAAAGGTTTGGAAGTTTCTTTACCCCGTGGCGCTTGTTATATCTGTTCTCTTGCTTCTCCTTCCTCTCCTTTTCCTTTAATGATACGCGCTTATGATCTTTAAAAGAGCCTAAACTTTGCGGAAATACCGGTACGCGCGACCTGATTTTACGCGAGAACATCAGTTCAGCCGGCGAAAATCCATTTTCTAGCGGGCTTGTCCAGCAAGCCTAAATACGTATCTTTAGATTTTTTAAGGATGGATTTTGCTATCTTAACGGCTGCTTCCGCTGCGCCATTGCTCTGCGAGAACTTCGGTGAACTTGTTACGTGCCTGAACTCGTATTCATTTGCGAATTTTTTGAATTCTGTGGAAAACTGAGTTTCGCAATCGCTCCGAACTACCTCGGGGATGCCAAACCTCGCGAACAAATTTTTACAGTGTTCAATTATCTCTGCTTCTGTCATGGACTTTGTGCGCATATCTCAAAGTATCTTGAATAGTAGTCGGTTGCGATCAAATACCATTTGAAATATTTGAATAAATCTAAACCGATCTTTTGCCATGGTCGATCTGGAAATTCTTCTTCAGTGAATGGTTCTTTCCTATTACGTCTTTCCTCGATACACGCGGGCAGTTTTCGATCAGATTTGCCAACTGAGTACTTAAACCTATCCACCAGACTGACTGTTTGGCTCTGTCTCTGCATTTGCTTATACCCAAGTGCCCTTCATGAATTTTTTTTAGCATTTCGAGTTGTAAAGGGGGTGGTATAATTAACCGTGAACCAAAAAGTAGGTATCCCTTGCAGTAGGATATTTCATCTTTATGCTGATAATAAGGTAATAATCCGGCTGCTAGATTGTTTTTTGAAGGCCACTTGGATGTACAATATTGCTTTAATCTTAAACATGTGTAGTCGGTTTCTTGTTGTGTGCGGATTCTTTCCAAAATATTTTTTATCGCCGGTAAACTTTTTACAATGAAATTTAGGTAAACGTCGAGATCTTCAGAAATATTAATTTCTTTTGTTTCTTTGTTCTTTGACGGATTCCTTGAGAGAGAGTCCGCTAAAATTAGCTGTTTACCGGGCACATATACCACGCTATACGTGTAACGCATTAAACGCATCCGCATTCCTTGTAATTTCGGAGTTAATTTATCTAAGTGTTTTGTTTGTAGAATTTGAGTCAGCGGTCTGTGATCGGTTTTAAGCGTTATTTCAATCCCTACAATGTAATCTTTAAAACGGTCTGTCGCGAATACTAAGGCTAATGCCTCTTTTTCGATCTGGCTATATCGTGTTTCGCACGCGGTGAGCGTTCTCGATGAATATGCCACTATTTCGCGATTATTTTCCCCGTCTTCTTGAATTAGTACTCCGCCTAGCCCATAGCTAGAGGCGTCCGCTTGAACAATGATCCTTTTAGTGAAATCATAATGAGCTAATGTCGGAGCTCTTTGAGCACATGCTTTCGCGGAATGCTTTCTCCTGTTTGTCAAACCAATCGAAGGATACTCCATCTTTTAGTAGTGAATTGAGCGGTTCTAACAACGAGGATTTATTTGGGATGAATTTACCGATATAGTTTACTATGCCTAAAAACTGCAGCAACGTTTCTTTATTTTTGGGAACCGGGAAGTTCGCTATTGCGTCTACGCGTTCGGGCAAAATACTGATTCCTTGTTCTGAAATTCTATGCCCTAAAAAATCTATTTCTTGTACGCCAATAATGCATTTATCTTTATTGAGCGTTATTCCCGCGCTTTTTAATCTACCGAGCACTGTTCTCAGCGTTTTGTCATGTTCCTCGACGTTCTGGCCATATATTAAAATGTCATCGACGACCATGAGCACGTTTGGTATATTGCCTAGTACTTCCGTGAACTCTTTCGAAAAATAATCTGACGCACAGTTTACACCGTACGGCAAGCGCGTGTGCATATACCTTCCGAACGGAGTTATGAACGTTGTTAGCTTTTGACTTTCTTTATCTAACTTTAACTGGTGATAGCCAGTTTTAGCATCGAGTTTAGAAAATATTTTCGATCCTTTTAGTTTTGCAAGCGCGACGTCGACCTTCGGTATCGGATGTACCGCACGCTTCACGCTTCTATTGAGGACCGTATAGTCGCCGCATATGCGTATTTCTTTGCCGTTTAATTTCGGGACTACCACTATGGGACTGCACCAGTCGGGAAATCGACTGAGACGATCACGCCCTTACTTTGTAACGCGTCTAATTCTTTTTTTAATTCCGGTAACAAAGGTAACGCAACTGACCGCGGGACACTTAGTGCGAACGGTTTGGCCCCCTCTCTCATGTGAATAGTTAACTCTTTGCTGAATAAGCCCAGGCCTCTGAAAACTTTTGGGAATTCTTTTCCCACGCTTACTTTGGACTCGAAAGGCTTAGCGTTGGTGTTTCTTACCCCGTGGACTAAATTAAATCTCATTATTTCCGGCTTTCCAAGCAAGTTTTGCTTTAATCCGCGTAAGACATAAACTTTACTTTCTAATTTTATTCCGTCTTTTATCAAGTTCACGTTATAATAATCGATGACCGGTAACTTTTTTCCGTCAGGCCCGAAAATTAATTTGTCGGTCGGTAAAGTTTTGCGCTTGAGATTTTCCGGTATCGACTTGCTCGAAATACAGGTTATGTCGGCACCTGTGTCTATAAGAAATTCTTCTTCTTTCGAGAGCTCAAGAATTTTTACGCGAACTACGAAATCTCTATCTGCCTGCGGTGTCCGACGCCCTACCGTTCTTAAGAACGCCGTTTCGCTAGCTTTGTTTGTGGCGCTGCCATCTTCTTCTGCCAGACGCTTTATGTTGCGCGCTCTGCAAACTTTGTCCCAATAGCCTATCTTCTTGCAGTTACGGCATGCCGACCGAAGCGCTGGGCATCTCGCGCTTTCCGTATGCTGATCCAGTCCGCACCTCTGGCACGAGGCTCCTTTGGCGGTGTGCTTCTTCCCCTCTGCAACGCTAGGCTTCTTGTTGTTTTTTGTGGGCCATTTTGTTCGTCCTTGCGAGATCTTGTTTACATCTTTGCATTCACCGCCATTGCCCTGACGCAATAGCTTTCCGTGTTTAACCTGCGTCTCTGCCTGACGAGCTATTGTTATAGCTTTTTCTAATGTGAGATCGGCGGTTAGCTGCAATCGTTCCGACGTTTTTGAGTCTCTCACTCCAATGACTAATCGGTTTCTAATGAGGTCCTCTTTCAATAAGCTGTACTCACACGTTTCGGCTAGCGTGTGTAACGCTGTGACAAAGGAATCCACGCTCTCGTCCGGTTGTTGGACCTTTGAGTTGAATTTGAATCGCTCGAAGATTAAATTCTTCTTTGGCTCGAAGTGACCTTTGAATTTGTCCTTCACCATCTCGAACGTCGTCTCTGCGTCCATCTGCGGCAGGATCCGGTTAAGGATTTCTTCGGCCTTTTCACCCATTGTGTAGCACAATAGGTCGATCTTTTCTTTCTCACTTCTGCTCGAGAGGTTTGCCACTGAAACGTATCTCTCGAACCGTTTCACCCATGTCGGCCACGTATCCGGTCTTGTGAAGTCGAATTCGCTTGGTGCGCGGACCGCGGAAACCGATGAGGGTGGTGCCTGGCCCTCTTGGCTTATTTTTCTTATTCGATTTTAGATGTGCGGCGTCTCTTTCTGACGTGGCGCGGTGCAGCTCGCGATTAGGTTGTGACCGGCCGAGGTATGAAAATCGTTAATTGACTCGTTTGACTTACTACTTGTTGAAATATTTATTGTTGTTTAAGGTCGCCACTCCATTTAACCATCCTACGGAGAAGGAAAACCGTCCCTCAGTCAGCAGTGATGTCCTCGCGTCTCGGCGCCTCGGATCCTCTCTCTCGCTCTGTGGAGACATTGGCTGGGGTTTCCGCTAATAAATCACTCACTCACACGCTTTATAAATGAATAATATAATATATTTAAACAATCTTTAGTGTTTTACATGAAATACGCGCACTCGGAACGCGATGTATCGCGACGCAACTTTCCGGTCGCTAAAACTCAATTATTTGAAATAAATCTATAACTTTGTGAATTCAGGGATTAATATATCAAAATAACGTATCGTTAGACGTGTTACGCGCGTCCGCGGAGTCCTCTAATATAATTAACGCAATTAGTATGCAAAATAACGCGACGACACTGCGCGTAGAGACGTCCGTCCGGTTCGGGCGCTCAAGAGCGACTGATGGCTTCGCCGTCCGTCTCGGCCGGGTCGGCCACCTGGGCTACCTCATCCCCTCCATCCGTCTTCCGACCAATCGCAAAAATCAAAGTAAAGTAGGTCGGATCGCTTCGCGCTTTGGCAGGAAGGAACTCAGTGCCTCACTCTTATTCGAAATCTCCTTTCCTTTTTTCTCTAAAAATTCTCTTTTTACTACTACCTCGAGTTTTCCTCGATCAGCTGTTCGCCATGTGTTTTCTA